TCCGGCGGCAGGGAAAGACGGAACTAACACCAATTCAGCAGATGAAAAGCCGTCGGCAATCCTGCCTTCCGAAATTGCCAGATATTGACGAAGCTAAGACGAAGAACAGAGGAAGAAACGGTATGAGCCTTAGCCCCAAATCGCGGAGGACATTGATCAAGGCCCAAACCGTGCGGCAACCAGCCACCACCATCGTATCCAAAAGGCCGGCGAAAAAAGATGGGGTTGGGGTTGTCGAATTAATTCAGCCAAAGAAGCTCTTTAATAAAGACATTGAAAAATCAGCCCCACCCACCAGCACCAAAAAGCCATTGAGGACTGGTAGGATTGTAGCGAGCCGTTACAATCAGACAAGCGAAAGCGCCCAAGTAGCCACAGAGAATCGCAAGACATCTCTGCCGGGGAATTGCAAAGACGACGGAAGCAGTCGTTCTTCATCAGAGCTATGCCGGAGCAAGGCGCCGCAAAGCAGAGTGAAGAAGCGGTGGGAAATTCCAAGTGAAATAATACTCCAACAAGAAATGGAAGAGGGATGCTGTGAATCTCCAGTTTCCAAGCTGGGCGATATGCTTCCAAGGATCAGAACGACTCGTTGTTCGAATATGACTCCAAGGGACTCTGGACCGGCCAAGAGGGTAGCTGAATTGATTGAGAGTAACACAAATTTCTTTGCTGATACGGAGATGGAAGCATCGATCTGTCAGAAGTTAAATTTTGCAGAGGATGAAGAGATAAGCGAGTTTGGTGAGCTATAAACTGGTGGATCTGTTGTTATTGTATAACCAGATGAAGAATATAAAGGGATCAAGCTTTCGTTTTCAATAAGTTGTCTCTATGATATCAAGACTAATACTACATGAGTACCAAAATTTAAAATCAAATGCAATGAAAGTAAGACAAAACTGGGATTTGAATGAATGTAAGGTTGGTTATAACTATAGTTGAATTTGTAGAGTTGGCTGCTATGAAGAAGATATCAGATTCTGCTTGAATCCCTGCCAAATATGAATCTTCTAGCCCAGTCTGATAGGACCAGAACCCTCGTGCGCCAGCTTACTAGCTTGCTGTAAAGATAGTTTCATAAATAAACAAAACATTAGTGTAACCATCCAAATCCATTGTTAGTAGATATTATCTATTTTGGTCCGTTACGTATTGCTGTCAGCCTCACGGTCTTACAACGCATCTGTTAGGGAGAGGTTCCCACACCCTTGTAGGGAATACTTCGTTCTCCTCTACAACCAATGTGGTATCTCACAATCCACTCCCCTTGGGGGCCCAACGTTCTCGCTGGCACACCGCTCTATGTCTGACTATGATACTATTTGTAACAGTCTTAAGTCCACCGCTAGTACATATTGTCCATTTTTGCCCATTACATATCGATGTTAGCTTCACGGTTTTAAACGGTAGAGAGAGGTTTCCAGACCATTATAAGAAATGTTTCATTCTCCTCTCCAACTAACGTGGAATCTCACAATCCACTTTCTTGGGGTCAGCGTCCTCGTTGGCACATTGCTCAGTGTCTAAATCTGATACAATTTGGAACAGTCTAAGCACACCGCTAGTAGATATTGTTTACTTTGGTCCGTTACATATTGTCGCTAGTCTCACGGTTTTAAAACGTATTTACTAGAAAGAGGTCTCCTCTTCAACCGACGTGAGATCCCACAATTAGAGAGCAAGAATGCTGTCGGGGGGGGTTTGAATATGCTTCAAATGACGTTTGGGGTTTGTGGATTTTACCTTGTATACACAGAGTACCAAAGCCACTGGCTGCTATGACCTATTGAAATCCAATCTCCAGGTAGTTGAGCTGCAGTTTGTTCTCCACCAAGAGGAGCAAACTGCCCAAAATGCTTGTACCTTAACACAAAAACAACCAAACTTTCAGTCTAAAAATACCAAAAACACACCCATTTGATCCACTTTTTATGGTTTTTACCTGAAGGGACGAAACCGATGTCGCCCCGTCCCTCTATATCGGAGAGGGCCTTCTGGGTACTTCTCACATTGTTCCATCTTGTTGAAGCAGGTAGCAAGATACTCACCTTGTTGAGCAGCAACCTACAAGAATTTGAAAAGAACAAAAAAAAAATGATATAGTAGTTGAAGCAGCATTAGAATAAAGATTAGGATGTATGAGTTCACTTGAGCAGTAGCAGGCAGATTTTTCATCTGAGCATCGACTTCGGAAAGTAAGGACGTAAAGCTTTCGATATCGAGCTCGGTCGACTGTCTCTGTGTGTCCAATTGGGACTTCTTCAACAAGGCTGCAAAGTTCTTCATCTTATTCTTCTTCAGATAGATCTCTACTTGAGGGTACCTCTCACAAATATCCTTTACTGCTTCTTGAAACTCTTGCAGGGCTAAACTTCCTGAATTGTCTGTGTCTGCCTTGCTGAATATCACAGCAATATCTTCCTGCAAGTAAAAGAGTATCAATCAAGAAGAAAGCAATAACACCCAAGAGCCACCCACCACCCACCACTAGTAGATATTTTTTTATTTGGACTTTCTTTCAAGGCTTTAAAACGCGTCTATTAGGAAAAGGTTTCTAGACACCTTATAAAGGGTGTTTCGTTCTCCTACTTGTGAGATATCACAAAAGCGAACTCTGAAATTACCATGACTTTTCTTTGGTTTATTGTGGCACAATCACCAAAAGCATAGACACCATCACATCCTTCAACCCTTAGCCATTCATCAGTAACCAAAGCTCGTCAATCTGCTTCATGAAGTCGACGACTTGAGGCCGAGGACCGATGCCGGTGGACCAGACAACCATTCCATAAGGAACAGACACAAACTCACCGGTTGCTCTTTCTTTTGTGGAGATTTCCTTATCAGTTACTTTCACAACCATGGAACCAGTTTTTAAGTTAATCCCATCTCTTTGAAACTTGTCTTCAGCAAAGGCTGTAATCCTCTTGTCAAACCTATAAAAATAAGTGTCCTGAATTTGATGTTCCAAAGAACCAACCATATAATACAAAGAAGCCAAAAAAGAGCAGCCCTTACATGTTCAAAATATGATCGCCTGCCTCTAGGAGGGTGATTTTCACGTATTCTTTCAATGAAGGATACAACTCTGCCAAATCCTCTGCAGCAAAGTCATGAAGTTCTGCTGCAAATTCCACTCCTGTTGGACCTCCTCCAACTATAACAAAGTGAAGGGTTCTCTTCTTCTCTTCTTCACTTAGATTTGGAAGGCTGGCTCGCTCGAAACAATCGATTACCGACTGTCGAATCTGCTGAGCATCTTCCACTCCCTTCAAGAAATGAGCATTTTCCTCTACTCCTGGTGTGTTGAAAGTGTTGGATTTAGCTCCCATGGCTACTATCAGATAGTCGTAGTCCACTGAAAACTCTTCCTTGCCACCCAAGTTCGTGTCTTGAGTTGATCGACAGAACACCTTCTTGTTCTCTGCATCTATCTTATAACACTCAGCTTCCCTAAATTCAATGCTCAATCCTTTCTGCAACGTAAAACATGAAATGGGTTACCTTCATCTTGGCAAAACACTGTGAAGAAGAACAGAGAAACTACGAATTTCAGTACCTTCTTGGTGATGCTACGAATTGGTTCGACAATGCTGCGTGCCTCGACGGTGCCACAAGTGACACTAGGAAGCAAAGGGGTGAAAGCGAAGTAATTATGAGGGGAAATGACATGAACATCATAAGAGGAGCTCTTGAGGTTCTTCAAGAAGCTGGTGCCGGCCCATCCTGTTCCAAGCACCACCACCTTCTTCTTCTTCTTCTTCCTCCAATCACCATCTTGTTGGACGGCATCAGCAAATGCAGAAGGGTACAGAGATTTGGCATTAGTACTTGCCACCAGCCCACCTCCACTGCAAATCATAACAATGAAGATCATAACGTGAAATATAATTGAATTCAAAACAAGAAAAGAAGACAGGAAAGAAAAAGGGTCGGTCAAGAACCTGGCTGCGAAGACGACGAGGAGCTTGGAGATGTTGGGATGGTTGTGATAAGCCTTAGAGGCTCTGTTGTAGAAGGAATTCCATGCCATTGTGCCAGCCCTGAGTAGCCTCTTCTCTTGCAGGAAAAAGTGAAGGGAAGTTTTCTTTATACAGAAGAGCGAGGAGGAAGGAGTAACTGCCAAGTTTTCGGAGTAGAAAAAAAACGATTCACCGTTGATTTTGATATCCAATAAAGTGGGAAAGAAAGACAGGTGGGATTGACTGACACAGAAATCTCCTACGAAATAGGAAACTAAACACGTGGGATTTCATCTTCCATATATATTTGATTTATTTCCGAGTTTCTTGGAAGTCTACGCTAATGAAAATCTCCCGACCATTGAATTAGGAATTAAAATCTCCATTGGATCAATTTACAAGCTAATAATATCACTTCTTCCAAAAATATATATTCAATCAAACCCAAACAAATCCAATACAACCCTTTACAATTTTGGTTAGGTAATCTGTGGATTATTCTTCAAACCATTAAATTTTAAAATATGGATTCGATTTCGTATTTTGGCTGAAATTTAAAAACTATAATACAAAGACAATTATTCAAAATGAGGTTGGTTGATGATGTGTTTACAAAAGAATAAAACAAACTATAATTATCATTAATTTATTCATTAACAAATATATATTTAATCTTTTCTAACAATAAAAATTTGATTTTATTAAAAACATTAAAAACACATTGTACAAATTTATGGATTTAGGAATTAATGTCTTATAAACATATGAACATTAAAATATGTAAACATATGAATATTCCAAAGTTCATATATTTTGAATATAATATAATACAATCATAATTTAATCAAGTGCTAATAGAAAATTGATCACCGAGTCCATGTGTATATATTAAAACTTGTATATTGAGAAATAATACTGAATTGATACAATTCAACTTGGGAAATTCATAAACTATAAATGAGCTCGAGCTTGTTTATAAATTTCTAAAATTTTACAATTCACTTGATGCATTGATGTACATATTTAAGCTTGGTATTAACATAAAACAATATCAATATCATTGTAACATCTGGGATACAGAAACATGGGCCAATTAGCAATTTGAATTTGAAATTAAAGTCGAAAAAGAGTACAAAGAAACATGATCTACAAATACAAATTCGAATACGATACAACAGGCGATTGCTTTCGTAAACGGCTTCCACCATCACATAACGGATGAATAAACGACACCTCGCATTGAACTCAATCTGCAGAAGAAACACAAGGACAAAACAAACAAAACAAAGCCTATGACGAGAACACATTAGTCTACAAACAAATGAAAAATAGAATACTACAATGGTTTGGTGAATTTAGTGCTGTTATTTAACTCCAACCTCCTAATTTGGCGAGAAGAAGCTGATGACAACACACAATTTCTGAGTTTTTCAGACTACATTCCCACATTATAAAAGGGATGTGTATAGTTAAACTCAAATCAAGGAAACATCCTAAACCAAGTATTCAAGTAATAAAAATGGTAAAATAAACAAAATTTTGAATCAAGACTAAAATTAAATAAAACTAAAAAGAAACCTCAGCGAAATCCATATAACTCGTACAAATGTTATTCCACCAAGTAGGTTCTCCCTGAAACAGGGTCTTGACTTCACAACATCTCAGAAAGTTGGATTGTATCATCAAAGGCTAAAATCAAAAAAAAAAAAAAAAAAAAAAAACTCTAATATCAAATGATTTCAACACGAAAAGGTAGAACAATTGTGCATTAAACAAATCATGGTGAACCCTCAGTTAAATCCATTGATATCATATGAACAAGGCTTCACCAAGTAGGTTCTCCCTGAAACAGGGTCTTGGATCCACAATGTCTCAGACAAACGGATTATATCATCATTGGAAAATTTTATATTCACATATGGATTTACATAAACTATAACCTATAAGGGGCCAATTGTAAAATAGAAAAAACAATTTTGATATGCAGATTTAAGACTCAGATAATATGTAACAGCTTTATCAATCATCAAATTCTGAAGCAGAACTGGCATATAAGCTGAATGTCAATCATCACGGCCAGATTTGAAAGCAGCAACTAAATTAGCGAAATTTAAATAAATTAATGATAGACGAAATGTGGCTCATATCAAGAAATTCAACCATTTGTTTTTAAGTTTGCTTCATCGTTTAACCTCGGAAGCGCGGATAATGTGTAATCATAGCCAACAACTCTTAACTATCACCCTCAAAACGAAACTTTTAAATAAGAAAACAAAACCACAAACCATAAAAGTCGATTCAAATTGGGATAAAAAGATATATATAGCGGAAGTTTTTAGAGGCACAAACATTGAAAAGATAGGCCCCCACGTGAACACCGCCGAAGATTAGATCTCGGCCTCTATGACTAGCTTCATTTTCATATGCTTTATCTGCAGAAAACAAGCTAAAGGTGTAGTGAGGCCCCCAATAATCCAATAAATCAAACAAAAACAAATTCAACATTTTAAGATGGCGCTATAACCATGATAAAGGAATCTCGCCGTTATTTTGACACAGATAAGCCGTGGAAGCAAGGCAAACCTGCAACACTAAACGGCTGCACTCTAGCACGAGCAATGGGGCTATCACCGTCATGGAGATAAATCAGAGTAGCCCGGGGTGCGTCGTGCAAATGTTAATTAAGAACGTAAAAATTTTCAAGAAGCGCTAATCCTTAATGCTAAAGGAGATCGCCCACTCAGCCGACGAACCCTAGATCAACCTCGCCCTGGACGCATGCTGGATGAAGGAATAGAGATACCTTGCGTGGCTTATATAGACTAAAACCCTAGAAAAGCTGGCGGCTTTTTGCTTCTGGATGTCTCCAATGTTTAATTGGGCCGTGGCCCATAATAACGATATGGCCCATGTATCCATGCCTTTTCTTTTCTTTTCTTTTCTTTTTTTCCTTTTTTTTTGTGAGATGAGGAAGTTAGCTTTAATATTAATGCGTTAAATTAAATATATTCTTATAATACAGTTTGATTTTTTTAAAAAGAAAAATATAGTTTTACAAACCATTTCAATTATTTTTTATTTTAATATTATTTTTACAACACATTTTTTATTTATTACTATTGAAATGAAAAGCATCACCGTCAAGTTGCCATTGCAATGTAACTATGAAATCAATTTGTTTTCTTTTTTAATATAAATATATTTAAAAATTTGTAAGCCTCTCCTAAATAACATTTATTTTTTAAATTTGAAAATCTCTCCTAGCAGACACGTTTCAAAAGCTTGAGGGAATCCCTTAAACAGAAAGTCAAAAAAAAAACAATATACGTTAGTGGCGGACTCGAGTTTTTAACTTACTATCGAAATTTCGTATTTGTTGTACTACAAAATATAATACATTAACGTGCTCAAAATATTATCAAATCTAACATGTTTCTAAAAATAAAACTTATAACGAGTTTGACAACGATGTTTTCAAATTTGTTTTCGAAAGATATGTAATGTATATAGTGGAAATGACGAAAATAACCTTTCGAAATTAAAATTTTAAAATGCAGTCAAAATAGTATAATCATTCGTTTTGACTTGAAAATATTTTTAATATCTTATAACTATATGATAATATAAAAGAATAACAATCCAATATTTAGAATAAAATATATGTTCATTTATAATAATACAATTTATAAATCCATTCCAATACATATATAAATAAAACTCTATTTTAATTCAATCATTATTTTCAAAATTCCATATTTAAATTGTCCCACATTTTTGGGAGAATAACTGCGAGAAATACCGGGGCAGATTCGCCGTCGGAGAACCAATTTCGTGCCGATTAAAGATCGCGGCAAAGGATTTCTGCCACAAAGATAAACCCCATCTCTCCCTTCATCCTACTTCACCGGCTTCACTCTTCGGGATCTGTAAACACCCACTTCAAAATTTCAACTCCGCTGCTGATCAGATTCAGTTCTTTGCTTCGGCATTTTCGCCTCATTCAAGTGGAAACTGTATTCTGGTGGCGATCAGAAATCCTGCAAGAGAATGAGGCGGAGGCCCCCGGATTTCCGAAGGCCTGCGAGGAGAAGACTATCCAACACGTTTTGGTGGACTCTGTGTTTGGTTTCGGTTTTGCTCTTCCTTTTCATTCTGTGCAAAGGGAGTCGGATTGAGTCCAGGCCCGTCTTAACTAGGGTAACGATCTCTCTTCTTTTTTTAGCTTTCTCTCCAATTTTGGATGTGTGATGAAATTCGATTAGAATGTCGATTACCGGTTTTGTTAGTTCCAACAATTGGCTATGAATTTCAATATACTACTGAAATACGCATTTAAGTGTTATGAAATTCGGTTTATTCTTCTCAGGTACCCTGTGTAGCTCATGAGTTTTTGTTGATTTATGTCGTGCTAATCTGACAAATGGAAATGCCATCTATGATCTGTTTTTAAGTATATCTTCATATTTGATCTCATGCCTCTGATCGTCTGGCTTTGAAGCTAGTTTGTCTGAGTTAATTTGTGACATGAACCAATTCAAGAAACTTCAAGAAATTGATATTTCCATGAAAGAATTACGATCAACTAGAATTTCAAGTAATTTGAGGATCTTGTGTGTCTTAGGTTCTTTGAATTGCTACTGCTACAGCAACAACCGTTTGCTAAATTTTGGTATGTTTCTGCACGGTTATGTAGATGTCATATAGAAATGAAAGAATTGTCGAAGGCCTCAATGTTACTGAAGAAATGTTGAACCCCAGCTCTATAGTCCGGCAACTCAGCGGCCAAATTTCTCTAGCAAAAGCATTTGTTGTGATTGCAAAAGAGAGCAGCAATCTTCAGTTCGCTTGGGAATTAAGTGCTCAAATTCGGAATTCACAAATCCTCCTCTCAAATGCTGCAACAAGGAGAGCTCCTCTGAGTATTACAGAAGCAGAAACTGCAATCCGTGACATGGCACTGTTGTTGTACCAAGCCCAGCAACTTCATTATGATAGTGCAACGATGATCATGAAGTTGAAAGCTAAAATCCAGACTCTGGATGAAAAAATAAGCTCAATCAGTGACAAGAGTTCAAAATATGGACAAATTGCTGCTGAAGAAGTTCCCAAAAGTCTGTACTGCCTTGGCGTTCGCCTGACCACGGAACGATTCAGAAACTTGAACTTACAGAGGAAGCTCAATGAAAAGAAGCAAATAGATACAAAACTTAACGATAACGATCTCTACCATTTCTGTGTATTCTCTGACAACATCCTGGCCACTTCAGTTGTTGTCAACTCGACTGCTTTGAATTTGAAAAATCCCGATAGGGTTGTTTTCCATATCATAACTGATGAGGTCAATTATGCAGCAATGAAGGCATGGTTCTCGATTAACAGTTTTAGAAGGGTGACTGTTGATGTTCGGAAGTTTGAGGATTTTAGCTGGTTAAATGCTTCCTATGTCCCAGTACTCAAGCAACTCCAAGACTCGGATACTCAGAACTATTATTTTTCTGGCAGTGGTGGTGATGGTCACACTCCGATCAAGTTTCGAAATCCCAAATATCTTTCAATGCTGAACCATCTCAGGTTCTATATACCAGAAGTTTTTCCTGCCCTTAAAAAAGTTGTGTTTCTTGATGATGATATTGTTGTCCAGAGAGATATTTCTGGTCTTTTCAGTATTAATTTGAATGGTAACGTAAATGGAGCGGTCGAGACATGCATGGAGACCTTCCACAGATATCATAAGTACTTAAACTACTCCCACCCCCTTATCAGGGAGCATTTTGATCCCGATGCTTGCGGATGGGCGTTCGGGATGAATGTTTTTGATTTAGTAGAGTGGAGGAAGAGAAATGTTACTGGCATTTACCATTACTGGCAGGAAAATAATGTCGATCGGACACTATGGAAACTCGGTACACTCCCGCCTGGACTGCTTACATTCTATGGGTTGACAGAACCATTGGATCCCTCATGGCATGTGTTAGGATTGGGCTACACAAACGTCGATCCTTGGTTGATCGAGAAGGGCGCTGTGCTTCACTTTAATGGCAACTCGAAGCCATGGCTTAAGATTGGGATAGAAAAATACAAGCCCCTTTGGGAGAAGTACGTTGACTATACTCATCCTCTATTGCAAAGCTGCAATTTCCATTGATTGAACATAGAAATTTGTGTTCTCCCCAGCCAAGATTGTTGTTTATGAATATCAAAAGATCTGGGGACATGGTGCATGGACGTGCCATTTTATCACGAATTCAAGCATGACAAGTTGCTGTGACATGAACCTTTGAATATAGATAGATAGCCTGATGTTTTGAAGTCAATTCCTGTCCTCGTAGGTTAGAGCGAACATCATTAGACCATTTCTGTTGTGCCACTAACAGCAGTTGATTCTATATTTGTATCAGTAGCAGTCATGCTCCCCAGGGATAGGCATCCTAACTTATTTGAATTTGGATGTCTAATTCTACGGAAGTTTGCAGCACTCCCTGTTATTTATGTATTGCTATTTCTCTCTTAAATTGATTTCGAAAGGTTTTAAGATGATTTTGTAGCAGTCGATACTCCTCTCCAGACTTTTCCTTAAAAGGTCTACGCAAGATTTTAAAATGGGGAGAGATTTTTACATCTACTATACCTGGGATCTTCCCCTTGTGTCCGGCGTTGTTACCATTTGTAATGGTCAATCTTGTCGTTAGAAGATATTGTTCTCTCTGAACTTTTCCTTCAAGGGCTCCCCTCCTTATAAAAGGAATGCTTATTTGGATCTCACAATTTTCATATTATTTAGAAAACATTTACATTTTTTTTAGTCAAATTCTAAATAAAAACAAATTTTTAAATTCGGTCTTCAACGACTATTTGATTTTTGAAACTTAAGAAGGGTCTTGAGTTTTTGATGTCCATCAACTTATAGCGTTACATAATCTATGGGTGCAATTAAGTTTTGGCAATGTTTACTAGACCAGCGTGAGGTGAGACCAAAACTAACGATAATATATATTTTTAGACTTTTTAAATATTTAAAGATATTTTGATGGGTACTTTTCTTAATTTAGTTTTTTTAAGGAAAATAAATAAACAAACAAGGGTAGGAGGGTTAATGCGACGTCGTCCGCATTTGCTTGTGTTTTGAAGCGCTCGGGTCTCTTTCTTTGCTCCGTTTCGCTGTATCAGCGTTCTTGATCTCTCTTTCTCAGTGTAGGGAAGAAAATCTGAATCCATGGCTACCTTAGCGGCTACAGCAGTTCGTCAAGCCAGAGCCCTAACTCGAGCTTCCTCTCCTCAGTCAACCGCCACCCTTATTCAAAGGCGCGGTCTCGCTGGCGCTGCCGGTAGGTTTCATCTCTCGCTCACATTTTTCGCATTTAGATCATCTGCTTATATACCAATCCCATTTTCGGGTTTGTTCATTTTTTTTTCTGACGAATTTTTGGTGTTTCGTTTCGAAATGGTAATCGTGGTCATATACTCCTTCCCCGGGTTCTGTTTTAGGTTTAGCTAGCATTGATATAAGGATCTTGAAAATATGAAATGAATGTGCGAATTATTTTAGTTGTTGGAATGCGTTTTCCTAATTTGAGAACCCGATTTTGTAAGCGTAGATTTCACTCTTATTCTTCGATAACGAGGTTCGTTGTCTAGAATTGAAAAGAGTATGCTACATATAATTTAACTCAATTATGCATTGGAAACTTTGATATGAAATTTAAGATCCCTTTAATAACCATTTCGTTTTTGTAAATTAAGCGTCCACCTATGAGAATTATACTTTTTGCATTTTTTTTTTAAATTTTGAAAGCTTGTTTTTTTTCCTTCTACAATTTGACTAAGAATTCCAACATTTATTTAAGAAAGGTAAAAACGACCATAAAGAAATGGGGCATAGTTATCAAACGGAGCCTAAAACTAAAAATAAAAAATCAAATAGTTTTCAAACGGGCCGAAAACTTGTATTTTTCTCACACATGGTTACCTTATCGTTTGCTTCCATTGGGGACTGTCACTTTGCTATCGTCCTCATGGTGAAGAATAGAACAGGTAAAGTGAAATATAATGAAGGCATATAAGTACTTTTTTCTGGGGAAAGAAACGATTCCATTTATGCCTGAAATTACCAAAGAAGGGAGAAACCTCAAAGGGAGATGATTACAAAAAATCTCTCATGCTATATAGGGCATGGTTGAGAGTGGTTTTAAGAACATGCCCATAGTTTTCTTTAAAATTAAACTTTCAGGTTTTGTTTACAAGAATGCACTCTACACATGCTGAGCTCCTCTTGTAGTGTTTATATTGTGTTGGAAGAAAGATGAACCAATAGTCAAACATTAAAAGAAAAAAGGGAAACATCAAAAGATGAAAGAATAATCCTTTTTCTTGTAAGTTTGACTCTCTTTGTTGATATTTGCAGACCACCATGGACCGCCGAAGGTTAACTGTTGGCAAGATCCTATGAGCCCATCTAAATGGAAGGAAGAGCATGTGAGCCTTATTGTTCTATATGAAATTAGTAGCTTCTTTTTCTTTTCTTTCTTTTGTTTTCCTGTCTTTTTCTTTTTTGACTTCCTATTTTATCTCAACAAGTAGTAGGATTTAATAATGAAACTAACAAAAATATTAACATTCTTAAGTTTTCTAGCCAGGGTCTCTTTTTAATCTGTAATCAACTCAACAAAATACTTGATTTTATTGCTCAAGAGATAGGACGCAAGGGCACAGTTTGTAGTGTCAGTATTATAAACCAGTCTTTATTAATTTAGCTATAATTCGGAATTTATGGGATTGAATTAGGGCTAAATGCAGCTGTTTGTCTCATTGTATTACTTGTTTCTCTTCGCTCTGCATAGGATTTGAAGTTGAAAGTTATAATTCCTTTAAGTCAATATTTACACTGAAACTTGTGAGTTTTATGCAGTTATGCACTCTTCTCCTCAAGTCTTCCTGTCGTGGAGAATAAATAAATGACATGAATATCATACCTGTGCCGTATTTAGCTAATGAGCAAATTGAACTTGTTCTGACGGGATTGTGGACTTTTGCAGTTTGTGATTGTCTCTCTATCTGGATGGGGTCTACTTTTCTATGGAGGGTACAAGTTCTTTACCGGGGGCAAGGGAAAGAAGGACGAGGTACTTCTGCACTTATTATCTATGCGCTCTTAATACTTAAACCCTCTTGGAAGTATTACAGGTGCTGTTAACTGAATATTATTTAATGACCATTGATTGTTGTTTATGCCTCATATTTCTGACGGAGTCACCTTAAAAGTGCTGCCCTAGCGCTTTTCTTGGTTTTACCTTCATTTTTAGCTGAGTAATTTTCTAATTTCCATATCAGATGTAACGTGAAATGTTAGAAATAGGAAATGTTAAACCCGCCTGGAGTATTCTGGAATATTTGAAAATATAATACAAGGTCTAGAATTTATGTTTGTCAAGCAACATTAGACTACAATTGTTAGGCTCCTGTTGTCTGGTTCTTGGCAAGGTCTTGGCGGAGAATAATATGCAATAAAAGGAGTAGTACAATGGTTTCATCGGCTGGAAAATGAAAAACATTTACCCGATCTCTCCTTTAATAACGTTACAGGATTATATCGTTTGCAAGTACGTCTACTTTATGAATCATTTGGATCATTAGACATTGAGTATTCGTAACTTGTAACATTGAAGGTGGCGTAGTACAACCTAGATGTATCATTATGTAACTTTACACATGAATTTTTTCACAAGCTTTTGCTTCTCTCCTAATTTTTTGCCCTTTGCCTTCAGAAACCTGTGGCAGCATCATGACGAGCTGAGCTATGGACATTTTCCGGCTGTTCTGAAGTTCTCCCGAAATAATGTATACCTTAGACCTCTTGCTGTCTGCGGATTTCATTTCACTCTTGAATTGTTTCTCGTATATGATCCTATCTCGTAGTTTTTTTTTCTTGCCATTCTAGTTGTTTCATGCACGAAAGTCCTATATCTAATAATACAATTTGCCCCAACACCTCATTCATAGAGTTCGAAGGGAGGGAATTTGTGCTCCGGAGCTTGTGATTGAACAAGGCATTTTTGAGTAAAAAAAACTTCAGTTGATTGCTTTTTTTCGGATGACAGGTAACGATCGTAACGATGTGAATTGCTTTTTGTTTCTTCAATTTCACAGTTAATATGAAAGTAGTCGAGTAGAAAGTCTACTTGGTTTGATTACTCATAATTTAGTAACATCATCGAGCAAGCTCTATGCATTGCAACACAACTAACACAACACCCATTTGCCTACTCAAATTATCAAAAAATAAACAACACTTGGGCATTTGATTTAGAACTCGTCCTCTGTCTCTTCCTTGTTTGTTTCTTCTTTAACGTCATCTCCCACATCAGAATTTGATTCCCTATTGAAATGACCATCGTCCTCCTGTTCTTGTTCCTGTTGTTCACTTTTCTTCACTTTTAGCTCATTCTCTTCATCTGGGTTTTGCTTAATGCTATCATCTCCCACATCAGAATTGGATTCCCTATTCAATTCTTCTTCTTTTAACCTTTTGTTTTCCTCTTCTCTAGCTTCCTCTGGGTACTCTTTCATTTTCTCCTCATTGAAAGTCCCTCCCTTAATGAACTTCCTATTGGTCGTGCTAGTAGCCACACTGTCTTCCAAATTTCTGTTGTTTTCCTGCATCCTTTTCTTCGAAATCAGTCTCCATCCGTTATCTCCCGACCTTTTCTTGGCGATGTATCTCCATCTTTTCCCTCTCATCTTTCTCGTATGCCCATATTTGCCTGTTTCTGTTTTCATCTTCATCCCATCATTCAGGATCTTATCAGCTCTCTGATTTTCAATTGCTTCAGAATCAATACCTTCTTCCCCCTTGTGATCGTTGGTGATCTTAGATTCCTCGCCATCATCTTCAGAACTCACTTGCTTCTGCACTTTCGCACCCTCTTTCTCCCTTCTTTCAGGGGTTTCCTCTGACTTTTGAGTTTCAGTTTCAGTTTCGGTTTCATCTCTTTTTGAAGTGCTTCCCTTGCTGAAGTCTGGTTTACTCTCTCCTCTGTTATTCTTCATTGATTCATTATTCTCTCCTCCTTTACCACCGCGCGACTCTAGCAATATCTCGCTTTGTTCTTCAGTCTTTGTTGAATCTTCATGTGGGTCTGATGGATCATTAGCAGCCACAGCTTCACGAGACTCAAGTCGACGTCTCAAATCCTCCAACTCATCTTCCTTTTGCTTGAGGCGTTGAGTTAGAACAACCACTTGAGAATTTTCATTCCCATTTTCAGTCTCTTTCTCCCTCAACATCTTGATCTCACTCTGCTTCTCTTGGAGTGCAATTCTTATGATCTTCTGCTCGTCTCGGAGCGAGTCGATGGTCGATTGCAACTCCAGCAGCCTCCTATCAAGTTCCATTTTCTGGGTTCGGAGCAAAAACATCGATTCTTTTATGTCTTCATTGTTCTTCTCCAATTCCTTACTTCGATCTCTTTCCTTCTGTTCATTCAACACGAGAAAATTTAAGAAATGATAGTACAACACAAGCGTGGCATTCATAGACAGAGAGATAGCACATGCATCGACGAGACAGACATAAAGAGTTGACCTGGAAGAGGAGTTGAAAGGAATGGAGATCTTCGTCTGTGCGCTTGAGGAGAAGGTTGCATATGCG